CTGAGCTAATGATGGGTCTTGCTGGGTTATTGGGCTTGTGGGTCTTGATTACACCGTGCATGTATGGCAGTGGAGGGGAAGTTGAAGTAAGATGTTTAATGAGCGTAGCTTTGCCTCTCAATAGGGACTTCAGTTTTTTGTTGAACTGGGTGTTGACAGTGTTGAGAGGATTATTTATGAGTTTAGAATATGTTGTGGTATCATATATATATATATATATATATATATATATATATATATATATATATATATATATATATATATATATATATATATATATATATATATATATATACAGGGATTCTTCTTTTTCTTTTATTCAGGTACATTTCTTGTGTTTAGAAGAGGTAACCGCTAATGCCCGTCAGTTGTTTTCCTCCCCTGATCCAACTCTCTTGCCCAAGACCCCTCTGGGCAAGAAGAAATCTCGACTGAAGAAACCTCATCACTCATCAATTGCAGGCGAGATTTTTTATGGGAATCCTTGGGAATTGTCTCAGGTTTTTAATAAATTATGGTTTATTTAATTTACATTTATACAATTCAAAAACTGATACAGTAGGTTCAGTGAAAAAAATATTCAAGATAGAAAGTACAGTACTGTACAGTAGAACCTTGTTATTTCCAACTCGGCTAATACAGATTTTGCCTAATTCAAACTTTTCTCAAGCATGAACAGATAATTTCTACTTTGAACCAATTGCCTATGTTCAATTTATATCATCCTGATTTGAACCTAACCAAATTAAGGCCAAAATTCCAGCCACGGTGCAGCCACTAATAGAAAGTCAGTTGGCGCTTAACACGCTGCTGTAAAAATCTGTTGTTGATCAATCCAAGTCCAGTCCTATTAGCTTTGCAAATTAATGATGAGTTCAAATGAGGAAAATTCAGAGGAAAATATAAATCTCTAAGCACAACAGGCAAACTGAAAATATTTAAGAACTTGAGCAATAAAACCAATAAACACCACAGTTGTTACATGCATTTTGATCCATGTCTTGCTTACCGTACCCCTAGATCTCACTACCAGGCCGGGGGGGGTGTAACTGTTCCCCACTTGTGAGCTACAGTATATATTATGTTATGGGTATTTTTCAGCTTTGCTGTTATCCCACATTTAGCAATAATTTTACTCGAACGTTAGGTTTTCAAGATGAGGGATACAGTGAGTTCTGCTATAACGCGTGTTTTGACAACGCGAATTGGCTCTAACGCGATTTATGAATAGAGGAACGATATTTGTATAACTCGAACGCTTGTTTGCTGTAACACGATTTTGCTTACTATTTCTCCAATTTTGTGGCATTAACTGTGAATATGGTAAAGAAGAATATCTCCAAGAAGTGTTCTGGTGATCGCATTCCCGGTGATGATCGTAAAAGAAAGGCTATAACACTTGAAGAGAAGCTCGATGTTATCAACCTCAAAATCACCCTTCTCCCCCATCAAGTTATATTCATATTTTTTCAAGGTAAAGTGTTACATTTACTGTATGATTTCATTATTAGATATGAATGTAACATTTATTTAGACTGTGCTATCCTTTGTGTTAGGCTAACTACTAAATTTTTTTTCGATTTGAGAGTAATCTGCACCTAACCCTATTTTCTCCATAAGCCCTGTTATTTCTATTACACGAATTTCTATAACACGATGTTTTACAAGAACACAACTATCGCGTTATAGCAGAACTGACTGTGTGTGTATATATATATATATATATATATATATATATATATATATATATATATATATATATATATATATATATATATATATATATATATATATATATATATATATATATATATATATATATATATTGTCCCTCTAGAAACTTCTGTGGCGCCTCAGTGACGAGGTAAATAATGAAAAAGTTTTTTTTTAACGTCGAGCGCTCGCTGTCACTACGCACTTAGGGGTAATTTTTCCACTTGCCTTTGTGTCCGAGATGACCAATAATAATTCATATATTTACTGATCATAATACTTATTTCCTATAAATAATTCATTAAGAATTTATTTTATTTGCATTACTGTACTCTTCATAAAAAGTGCTCAGCGACATACACATGCAGTCTGTCGTCAGGCTTTATGTTGGGAGAGCATGTAGGTCATACAAATAATTATCGGAATAATAATTCCACAAATAAATACATTTATAACATAATTATAGCATTATCATCTATTAATACTAAACTAAAATAAAACTACACAACTTTTAGTAATACAGTGGTCCCTCGGTTAACGAGCACAATCCGTTCCAGCAGGTTGCTCGTTAACCGAAACCATTGTTTCAATGGGTTTTGGGTAATTGGTTCCAGCTCACCGAAAATTGCCTAAATTCAACAAAAATGGTAGAAAAGTTCACTTACTTTGAGGTGTGTATGTAGAAGGCTCCTGGATGATGATGATGTGCATTTGAAGTGGGAGGTGGAGGAGAAGAGAAGGAAGTGGAGGTGGAGGAGAAGCATTTCACTGCTTCTTGGAAGGTGAGTCACCTTCCATGAAAATGTCAGGAACCTCTGGACTGACAGATTCTCCACCATGAACATCCTCTCCCCTTCTTGAAGTGGAAGGCTGAGGGATAGCATCTTGTTCCCTCTGCCTTTTACTGAAGAAAGTGTCAATTGTGGTCTGTGGGGCATCTGTCCTCCTCACCATTAACTTATGTTTAAAGAAGGAGACCACCGAGTCCTCAACATGACACATAGTTAGTTCAGTTTTTTCCACTTCTGGGTGCTTTGAAGCTGGTTCCCTGAACTTCTCCCAGTAGTAAATCACATCTTTCAACTGTTTAGCCGACATATGGTCATCACTTTCAATTTCCTCCTCACCACTGTCAGCCTCTACCTGTAACATCTCATCCAGTTGCTTAAAGTCATCAGGAGTAAGTTCCTCCTCATGAGACATCACAAGCTCTTCCACATCCTCCTCCTCCACTTCAAGGCCCAATGACGACCAATGGACACAAACTCCTGGTCCAACTCTGTTTCTTCCTCAAATCCCTCAAAATCATGGGCTACTGATGGCCACAGAGCTTTCCATGAAGAATTGAGGGATCTAGTGGAGACTTCTTGCCATGATGACACAATCAATTTTACAGCCTCCAGGATGTTGAATTGTGTCTTCCAGAACTGTTTCAGTGTTAGTTCAGGATCATTGGAAGTTGCCTGATGACATCTCCTGAACATTTTCTTTATGTACAACTTCTTGAAGTTGCTGATCACATTCTGGTCCATTAGCTGTATGATTGATGTAGTGTTTGGAGGCAAAAACAACACTTTCACAAAGTCAAATTGATACTCCAAATTGCTGGCAAGGTCAGGATCATGACCAGGAGCATTATCCATGAGGAGAAGAGCCTTTAAAGGGAGTTTATTGGTGGTTAGGTAGCTCTTGACAGAAGGGCAAAACACATCAACAGCCCATTCATTAAAGAGCTGTCTTGTCACCCATGCCTTACGGTTGGACTTCCAATAAACTCCAAGCTTTGTTCTTACCACTTTCTGTTGCTTGAACACCCTGGGGTTTTCAGAGTGGTAGACAAGCATAGACTTCAGTCGGAAATCCCCTGAAGCATTGGCACCAAGCAATAGAGTGAGACGGTCTTTCATGGGTTTATGCCCAGGTAAAGAGGCTTCATCTTTGGTGATGAATGTTCTTTTGGGCATCTTTTTCCAGAACAGCCCAGTTTCGTCCACATTGAACACTTGCTGTGGAAGATAATTTTCTTCTTCCATCAGTTTTTTAAATTCAATTAAAAACTTTGCTGCCCCTTCTTTATCAGCACTAGCAGCTTCACCATGCCTAACAACACTTAAAATGTCACTTCTTTTCTTAAATTTTTCGAACCAGCCTTTGCTAGCCCGAAAATCTTCAAATTCTGTTCCTGAAGAACCAGGTTGATCTGTCTTTAAATGTTCATAAATCTCCCTGGCTCTTTCACAAATGAAATCACCAGAAACTGAATCACCTTTCATCTGTTTTTCCCTAATCCAGATGATAAGTAACCTCTCAGTTTCTACGATTAGGGATCTACTTTTAAACACTCTTGTAGATTTGTCTCTCACGTTCACTTCCTTAAATTTGTCTTTTTGTGCAAGAATTGTCGACACAGTTGATGCCGACATGCCATATTCTTTGCATAGCGCATTTGATTTAATACCTTGTTCGTGTTTTTTTATTATTTCCTGCTTTATTTGGATTGAAATCACTTTTCTTGATCTCTTAGGCCCCATGCTGGATTCAAACAATGGCAACACGTATTTTTCAAAGTTAAACTAGCTGTAAATAAAGAATATTTTCTTTAAAGTAACACTGCACTGCACTATATATTGTCAATATGTAAAATAATTTTCAAAATGACCAATAATTTGCTTGGAAACACAGAAAAAAGCGTTTAGTTGAAGAGAGTCTCAAGCAAGATGTTACCTCCAGTGAAAACAGAGAGAGACTGACGCCTGTTTGCTGTGTTAAGAGGCTGGATGCCGCGCATTAAACTAGTCACTTTACCTTCAATTATGTTCAATAATTGTTAAAATGACTAAAAAATTGAATATTAAACTTTTAAAATTATTGAATAGTATAAACTTCTTGATATTTACAAAAATAGTAAGGAATTTAAGCCCTAGAACCGATTAATGTATTGGCGGACTGATACTAAAGCTGGTTGCCCGGTCAGTGCAAGCGAAAACATGTTGAGGTCGGTTCGTAAGAAGTTCGTTAAGCGAAATTTTTTTCGTTAAACGAATTGAAGATCCTTATGGAAGGCAGTTCGTTAATCGAAATTACGTTAACCGAGGTGTTCGTTAAGCGAGGGGTCACTGTATAATGATGATATAATAAATGACAATAGAAAAAAGAAAGGAAAAAAAGTTCAAGAGTGAGAAACAATATATGTATGCTGTGTTGTCAAAGTAAGAGAAACAATTGAGACCCTGCAATTGTGTGTAAATGAGGCAGAAAGTCAGTTCAGCAACCTGGGACTTGGTCACAATTTTTGTGGTGCCATATGGCAGCAGAGTCTACCATTAGACAATACTTATGCTGCCAATATCTTCCCAGGTGGTAGTACCTCCATGTTTGGTAGCTGCCTACTACCCATGGTTCTGGGTTCCCAATAAATTTATTTATGAACATGATCTAGGAATGTAACTTGGAATACTGTACTGTACTGTATGTCTTTCCATAGTGTTTGCTGTTTTTATTATTATCATCTTGTATTCCACCTGCATCCCCGCAGAAGATGAAGTATTTTCATCATCCAAGAGGTTGTCCACTTGTAACACAGGAAGCAACATCAATAATCAAAGCCCTCTTGAAACACCCCCAAGGAGGGGCAGAGCTGCATCTCGGGTAATTATCCAAATTGTTACAGGAATAATTGTACTGTAATGATTTTTTTGTTTGTTCTGTTTAGCCATTTCCTGTTGCTGAATACACTGGTCTTGAAAGTATTCTCTGTTAACATCCCTCCTATGAAGTTTTTGTATGTGGAACAATTATTCAAGTGCTTTGTATTTTGTTCCTTCATATTTTTCTCCTCGCTGCAATTTGTATCTCATTAGTAAGGAAGAAATGATAAATAGTTTCTTATTAGTAATCATGTTGGGTACATAATACTGTACACTTGACGCATATTAGCAATGTAAATTTGTGATAAATTTCAAAGAATAATACTGTATTTTCTATAGCCATAACTTGGATTATTTTACTATTTCTGACAGCTCGCTCACGAGAAAATGAAAAGGGTACCTATGACAACAAAAAAGACAAGAGGAACATGTCAGGTTATTTTCAAGGGAGACTCCTTTGAAAGCAGCTCCAGGTATTTATGGACCATTGACACCTTACTTGCCATTTTATAATAACTCAAGTGAATGTTTTATAGGAACTCCATTGGTGTGGCCATGTGGGTGAGAGTAGATGTGGGGTTAAAGTTGTTTGATTAGCTTAGATCAGAGGGCAGACAGAGCCTAAATTGAATATGCAAAATGCCTAGGCAACATTTTCAGTGGTAGCTGTTTTAAGCAAAGTAATTGTCTCAGGTATATGAACTCTAAAGTGACAGATCTTGTAACTACCATATCCATATTAACGTACTGTGGTAAACTTGTGGAATTTGGCCAACCATGTGATGTTAAAATACTTCAGAAAATATATATTTATGTACCTGTAGTCTATGTAATTTACTGATTTATGCCTTTTTTTCAGTTATAAAGAAGAAGTAAAAGGAGCAGACTCTGGTCATGGGGAAAATTGTGAGTCTCATTTTGAAGAGATGGAATATGAATCAACTGTTGATCCTTGTGAATCAGCTGTTAATCCTTTAGCACTAGACACACCAAGTAAGAAGAATGATGGTGTAAAATGTCTAAGTGTTAAAGTCAGTCTTGAAAGATTATCTCATTTACACACATCTCAAGAAGTAGATAGTTCAAAAGATACAACACAAGTTACTGTTACAAATGCATATCAGGAGGAAGGTGTAGGTTGTATTAGTGAAACAACTTGTTCATACTCTAACCTCAGGTTAGAAGACAGCGACGATAACAAAAGCACCAGAATAAAGGAACTGGATGTTCAGAGATCAGGGAATGAGATGTGTAAAGGCAAAGAAAAAGAAGAGCCTTTATCTCCCAATAATTGTACTGAAAATGCATGTACAAAATGTGAGAATTATGACGAGTGTAATTCTCAATCCAGAACCCCTGAAGAAGTTAGGATTTTGCCAGAGCAAACAGAAAAACTTGTTACAACCAATACCAAGTGGTCGAACCACTCGAACAAAACAAAAGGAATTGCAGTTATCAACACGAGGAGATATAACAGATAATATGGTAAGCACAGCAGATCAGCCTCATCCCATTCCCAAACCAAGATTAACTCGTACAAAGCAAAAGGAGGTCTTACCATTGCTCAATACAATTGATGAATCAGAAGGTCAGTTGTTACCACCCATGGACTTTCCAAAACCAAGAATGACTCGCACAAAGACTAAGGCAAAAGAACAGACTAACAAATTTGAAAATGTGGAATATGATTCACAGTCTTCAGTAGAGGAGGGGTATAATACCCATGAGAAAGCTGTTGCACAGCCATCTGAGGAAATCCCAATGTCTCGTTCTACTCGTACAAAGAAAAAGGTGATAGAGGTAATTTCCTTAACTGACACTCCAGTCAAGAATGACATTAATAAATCAGTAGACAATGAATCACAAAAACCAAGGACAACAAGAACAAAGAAACGAATGTTTGACGAGTTAGGTGTAGATCAGCCTACTAGATCTACAAGGACAAAGTGTAAGAAAATGGAAGAACAACCTGAAAAAGAATCTGTGGCTTCAGAAAAACTTGGTCTATGTTTATTTCTTACTGAATCTGAAGATGAGAAAGACGGCAAATCATCTCAGGTTGTACAGAAATCACCACTTGTTAGGTCTGTTCCATCAGTAACATCTATGAAGCCATCACAATCAGCGACCTCCTATACCTCTGAGAATACTGTAATGGCTGCTACATCTACTCAGAACACAGAAATTGGGCCGGTTCGCCGGATAATCGATCTAAGGTGCGCCAGTTGCCAGCTTTATTATTAAGCCCTTGTCCATCGTCGTCAACTGTCCAAGTTGTAACTCCAGGTAGTCCAGTACACACTAGTTTTAAGCGTGCTTGCTGTACACCAAATTCAGACAAGGACTCTCCAATGTCTTCTACTGTACGCCAGAAGGGGACACGCGCGATGACCCCTGTAAAACATTCTCCACGAACATTTGCTGGGTGAGTGATGCTCTCGAGGTGTAATAGGTGGAGAATAGTAATATACAGTATAATGATTGTAAAATGTGCAGATAATGGCCACAGACAATAAAATTATTTCATTAAAGGAACAGTATACAAGTTAAAGTGAGGGAGGAGGATTGAGTGGTTCACTAAGGTCAAAGTTACTATGTTCATGAAATGTACTCTTTTGTCCCCTGCTGCTTTGCAAAATATGAGGACTAGATTTTAGTTATCCATCTCTCCAACTGTTATCAAAATTTAAGAACTCTAAAGTATGCACAGTACAGTTGGTCCTCACATTACGCGGTTAATGTAACCCGGAGGGTCCCGCGGAAAGTGAGGAACGCGTAAAGTGAACAACATAACATATGGGATTAATTGAAATGGAGTCCAGGCCGATCCCCAAACTCCACTTTTTGACGACACACAACTATGTTGTAGTAAAAATATTATCTTAACTTTATGATGGCATGCACACACAATTAATAATTAAGAGAAATATCAATAATATTAGGTTTTTTAACACTTACATTAGTAGAAAAGATGGCTGGGCACACGGGGATGGGGGGTTGGTTCCGAGGCAGAGGGCAGATTATTGGCCCTCACCTGTATCACTGGTATCAATTGTATCACTATCCACCACAGAGGCTTGCAGGGCCTCTTTGTTAAACCCCTCAAAGTCCATATAAGTCCATATCCTCACTATAATTATCACTATCACTGACTTGGGCCGGTTGTGGTGGGTGGCGGGTAAAGAACTCGGTAATGTTTTGATGACTGGGCGACCTTGTGCGCACCATTTTCGCGCCTCTTACACAACATGGCGGATGGCGGGAGGTTTGGATCCAAAAATGGCGCGGCTTGCCAGCCGCTCTCCGCGTAATGGGGTTCACGATCGCGGAATGTAAGAATGTTAGGTTCTGGCAAGGCACCGCGTTAACGGTGAAACGCGGAATGCGGGACCGCTTAATGTGAGGACCAACTGTATTTTATTTTGAAACTTTACCAAAGTATGCATTAGCAAAGCCTTTATTTTTTATACCTTATGCCAATTTTTAGTCTTCCCTTTATAGTCAGGGGCATAACCAGAGATCAAGGTGAAGATCAGACTTATAAACAAACTTTGTGATTGCTCTGAAACTTTCGACAGTATAGCATGTTTCCCCATGATCTTAAGCAGTCAGTGGTGTGAAGAAGTCAGGAGTAAAGTGATATTGGGAAAAGGTGATCTCTCTCTGATAATCTTGTTGTAATCAGTCAACAATTGTAAAAACATTGTTGATCTTTAAAGTTGACATTGTCTGGTAGTGGAGTATATTGTGTTGATATTTCAAGATAATTTCCATATTAGTTAAAGAGTTACAGAAGGATATAAGTTGTTTATTATATATTGAAGATGAACTTTCCCTTATAAGTTAGACCTCAATCGGGACTGTGCATGACACTTTGTCTTTTGGCGATGCAAGTTGCACCAGTGTGTCATGGGGATATTTTCATTGGTTAAGAAGTTGTGGAGTGAATACAGACAGATTTCTGTACTGTATCCAGGGTACTGCTGTAACCTTGAAGGTTAAGTCCCCACTTGGTCCATGACGTATTGCCTGGCAGTTGCTACATTGTGTTAATGTACCTTGATATCCTTTTTGGTTCATAGGTTTCAGGGTGGACATGAACACTTCATTAATATGCCTAATTTTATCCTTGAAGATACGGACAAAATATTATTTGACAAATTTCATTCCACTTATGCATAATGTGGTAAAGCTTCATTAAGATGCAATATTTCATAGTTTTAAAGTTATGGTCCTGGAGGGAGGGAGGGACAAATAGCCTAATTCTGCAGTGGTGGTGAACAAATCTGTTTCTGTTTAATTAAAAAAACCTGTTATACAAAGTAGGTTTACAGTAAAGTGGGGCCATTTGTTTTTAGGATACTTTTATTATTTTCCTGGTGGGGGTGGAGATGACATCATGCCAGTATCATTTTGATCTCTACATTTGCATTTTTTTTTTAGTTTATTTAATCAATTTATCATATTTCAGCTCAAAAACAGGCTGTACTGTACGAGAATTGGCAACTGCATATCAGAATCACATTGGAGAAACCCTTAATGAGGTTGAAGAGCTAACTTCTGAGGAGTGTGAGGTGTGTTTATAAGTGGTTGAGTTCGTTACTCTGGTAAAAAAAAAATGTATACAGTATAGTCTTCATTTGCGCGGTCAATTGAACCCGTGGAGGTCCGCGTAAAACGTGTAAACGAAATAACAGAACATATGGGATTAATTGAAATAGAGACTGGGCCGACCCCCAAACTACACTTTTTCTGACACAATAGTACGTTGTAGTAAAAATATCATCTTAATTTTATGATGGTATGCACACACAATTAATATTTAAAAGAAATATCAATAATATTAGGTTTTTTAACACTTACATTAGTAGAAAAGATGGCTGGGCACACGAGGATGGGGGGTTGGTTCTGAGGCAGAGGGCAGATTAATTGGCCCTCACCTGTATCACTTGTATCAATTGTATCACAATCCACCACAGAGGCTTGCAGGGCCTCTTTGTCAAACCCCTCAAAGTCCATATCCTCACTATCACTGACTTGGGCTGGCCGTGGTGGGTGGCGGGTGAAGAACTCGGTAATGTTTTGTTGACTGGGTGACCTTGTGTGCACCCTGCCCGCGCCGCTTTCCGCGTAAATGATGGAATGAACCGTGTAAATAAAAATTGCCAGTCTGGCAAGGTGCCGCGTAAATGACCAAACGCGTAAGCCGAGACTATACTGTATATATATTTTTAATCCTCCCAGTATAAGTCAGTGAGTTGTGAGTAATTTTATTGCTTGTCCATGACTCCTGTATTTGTGATGGCCACATAAAGCAAATATCCATTTCTGTTTATATAATGGCTATTTTATCTTTCAGGTAACACACTCCCCAGCTCATGTAACACGACATGCACGAGTTAGACATGCAAAGGTGAGAAGCTCCTCTTGGTTATATGTAAACTTTTAGAAAATATAGTACAGTATTTGAGAAATTATTACTAAACCTGACATGAATATAATAGGTTGAGGTGCATTTGTACAGGGAGTAAGTTACTAATGCAAATTAGACTTACACTACAGTAATTGAAAGAAAAGCCATTGACTATGCTAGTGAACAGGACGTTGTCTCTTGCCAGAAGTCATTAATGTTTAAAGATATTTATTGCCACCACCAACAGGGTCATGTGAATAGGCCTTTCAGCAAGCTGTCTTAAGTTGCCATTTCTGACTGTTGGCATACTTAATATGAGTCTTTTCCATGACAATTCATAGGGCTGCCATGATTTTTATGTTCAAGTGTTTAAGGTACCATTCTGGGTGAGTTTGTATTTTTCTTGGGTGCAATCTGATATGCACAGGGACTGTCACTTAGTCTAAAGATATAAGGCTAACCAACCATTTACAAGAGTTTCCAATTTACCTTTTTTCTTCCCTTTTAGATATTACAAATAATATATGATTGCTATATCTCATGGTTGTTAGCTTTCAATCAGTCCTGACCCAAAAGGAGGTGAGTTTCTGATAGTAATCATTGAAATTTGTAAATGGCTTCATTATGTGTGTTATGTTTTTGTGTATTTCGAGTGTTTCTGGCATGACCATTTTGTTCTTGAGGTTTCTGTTTCCCTTGATATGCCCTATGTATACAGTATAGGAGCAGAGAATAGAAAATTACAAAATGTAGATAGAATAATAGTGTAAATTACATAAAATGTACTATTTAACATTAATGAAGAACTTATTACTGTACTGTTACGATTATATATTCATTTCTAGAAGCCTCAAATGTTCCTTTAACAGGGTGAGAGTTCAACAAGAACTATCGCTCGCAGGAGTTTAAAACGTGCCCTAGAGATTGCAAGAGGTGCCGAGTTGAAAAAAGCAATGAAATATTCGGAGGTTTGATTTTTTCAGTACTGAGAGCATTTACTTGGGCTAACATACAGTACTGTAATGTAAGGGTATTGTTAATTAGGAGGTGGTAATATTAGAAAGGGGAAATTAATGGGTTCACAGGGAATTACAGTATACAGACCCTCGCTTTAACGGTCTCGGCTAACGTAATTCTGGGTTAACGAACTGCCTTCCATAAGGATCTTCACTCAAGTTAACGAACAAAATTCAAGTTAACGCACTCTCTTACTTAACCGACCTCAACATGTTTTCGCTTGCACTGGTCAGCAACCAGCTTTAGTATGAGTCCGCCAATACATTAATCGGTTCTAGGGCTTAAATTCCTAACTATTTTAGTAAATATCAAGAAGTTTATACTATTCAATAATTTTAAAAGTTTAATATTCAATTTTTTAGTCATTTTAACAATTATTGAACATAATTGAAGGTAAAGTGACTAGTTTAAAGCGCAGCATCCAGCCTCTTAACACAGCAAACAGGCGTTAGTCTCTCTGTTTTCACTGGAGGTAACATCTTGCTTGAGACTCTTCAACTAAACGCTTTTTTTCTGTGTTTCCAAGCAAATTATTGGTCATTTTGAAATATATTTTATATATTGACAATATATAATGCAGTGCAGCGTTGATTTAAAGAAAATAATCTTGAATTAAACCAGAGAGCTAAAATTTTATGGGTGAAATGGCACCATGGGGTGACTTCTCTTCCACCCCAATGCCTTCTCTTCTTCCTTCTCCTCCACCCCCATTGTAATTCCCATCATCATCATCATCATCCAGGAGCCTTCTACATACACACCTCAAAGTAAGTGAACTTTTCTACCATTTTTGTTGAATTTAGGAAATTTTCGGTGAGCTGGAACCAATTACCCAAAAACCCATTGAAACTATGGTTTCGGTTAACGAACTTTTCGGTTAACGAACGACCTTCTGGAACGGATTGAGTTCGTTAACCGAGGGGTCACTGTATTGGTGCTTATTGTTTATCAGAACTATTTCACCATTAAACAGCTAATAAATGTTTAATGTTCGTGAGTTGTAATGGGTTGTGGAGGTTGTGTTGATTTTTATTTGCAAAGAAGCTATTCGGGTTTACTTACATTTTGAAATGTGCAGATATAATGGCCCTTTCCCCCAAAAAACTAACTTTACTTTAATCATTGATATCTTATGAAATGATAGTGTGCTGTATTTGCATCACCTGGCTGTATTTATATACAGTATACTATCCTTCATATATGGTCACTCTATGTATGTATTGTATATTGGTGCATCCCTCTTAATGGCCAAAATCCACATGTACAGCACCTAGAATTTGAAATTCCTTTTAGTTATTAAACTTGTAGTATGGTAAGCATTTCCTTTGTGCATCTTTGTTCTTAGATTAGTTCTTCCTGTTCATCCACAATTTCTTCCTCACTTGTATAGCAGTAAACATAGAATTTTTTTAAATAAAGTATGTTTCTTTTTCATGGGACTACTTTGCCACTACCAAACCCTATTATTTTGAGTGAACTCTACCTACTTAAATGCATTCTTTGTAAAGTACAGTAGATAGCAACTGTACACTCTTCAAGTTTTCGATGTCCATTCTTACAATGAAACCTCCATATAATGGATTCCTCTCTCCATATAATCTGTTAGATGGGGTTTCATATCAAATGGATCCTCAATATAAGAGACTTTTATCTCTATCTAACATACTGTAGTTCATTAGATGTGGGATTCACATAAAACGGGTCCTCTATATAGCGGAGTCTCCTTTCTACATTGTCCGTTAAATAGAGGTTTCACTGTAGTGTACAGTAATTTAATTTTGCAATGGGTAACAACAAACAGTATAGTACAAGTATTGCACCCTTTTTTACTCATAAACCTTATTACCAGACTTGAATCAATCAGAACTGTACTGGTATAATTGCAGATTTATGAAATGTATGTACAGTACAGTATTTATATTTACTGTACGAGGCAGTGGTGAAAGATTACTGTATTAAATGAATGGTTTGATTAATGTTAGTCCTCATATACTGAGATCACATACTGTACTGTACTGGGAATGGTAATTATTGGAGAGCGGTTCTTAGTATGACAGCGCTTGACGTATATACCAATATTGTTAACAGTGGCCTGGCATTCTTAAAAAAAAAATTACTTTTGTGATGTGGTTTAATCAAAGATGGCATTTATTGTTTAGCTTTAATCAAGAATATTAAGTTGTTAATCCCTGGAATGTTCTTCAATGGTGGCTTCATCATATCTTCATTGTTTTATGCCCATTTCTCTTGTCAGGTTTCTATCTCTCAGATAATTCGTGACTTCTCCCCATGTCAGAATTACCTGTAAGTATTTCATAGTTAAATTTATGGAGGGGTTAGTGTATGTTCCATCATATTAAGATAAATCAAATGCATGCAGCAAATTTCGTGTTTCATCTTGAAAAAAAGCTGAACTATGTCAATAATATATTAACTCACTGTATTTATTTCAGACTCCAGACTCCCAGAGAGTTCGGATAAAGCCCCCTGCCAGAACCCCACCTGCAACTTGTACTTCAGATAAGGTACTGTATTTTCAAACTTGGGTGTTTTTTTGTATTTTTCTTATTACTGTTATAGTTGTGCTGTCCAACTGAGTCATAAACTCAATTAAAAGAGATATAAATAGGGATTAAAAATATAAGGAGTGAGCTTGATCATCTTTATTTCTCTTCCACAATTTGGTGATGTGAACTACAGGCAGTCCCCGAGTTATGAATGGGATCCAATACATTCACTACAAAAATCTCTAAGATCCCATATTTTACATTACTTTACTTTCATTATTCTGTATTGTTTAACATCACTTTATTTACAGTATTTACATTATTTGTTATGTATGGGATATTATTGTTGTTTTATATGGATGGCATTCTATACTTTAATCTCTTCTACTTATCACTTCAACTGGAAGAAGCAGTTGCTGAGCATTTAGACATTTTGGAAAGGTCGGCATTTGCTAAACTCCAGGGGAATTGTAGCAGTAAGTGGATATGTCCTTGATTTGAGTGACACCTTGTTTGCAGCTGGGGAAATGTGCAGTAGTATTACATACTGCATATGGTATACTCTATATACAATATACACTTTCCTTTGTTCTGAATGATGCCTTTACTAAATTTTATAATTGATATATTTTTTTCCTATGTAGGTTATTCGACCAAAGAAGATTTTACTCAGCAGCAGCAGCAGTACCCATGGTAGCTCTCGTGATACACCAAAAACTTTCTCAAGAAGTCGGCTGATGCTTACCTCGTCATCCTCGGTAAAACACAAGATACAAAAGGTTTTGCATACAGTATTTATTATATACAGGAACACCCTGGTTAATGAGAGGGCTAAGGACTGACGGCAGTTGTTTAAAACCTGAAAAGTAATTCACTATAGCACTGTTCGTCATACACCGATGTTACTGAAAATAGATTCAAGACATGGCAACAGTGCAGCAGCAACTGCAACATTAGAAATATATAATTCTTATGCTAACAGCCATTATATTTTAGTGTATTTTGTTCTAAGTCTTTTAATGAATAAGATAATAACTGTAGCAGTATTTTATTTTTATTATCAAAAGTATCATGTAAATTGGACTCTCTCTCT